CAAAGTGATGGATTATACCAGGATTACACCGGAAATCTGCTCTGAAACTAAACGAAATACTCGTAAATATAGAAACAAAACAAATTGCAGAATGTAAAGTTTTTATTTTGAATAATTTAAATATTTCTGAAATTAATGAAAATTATTCTCTAAATCTATTTAATGTGAATGAATTGTATTTATCTGAAGTGTTCCTAATTAAATCCAAATGAATTCTAACTGGATGAATGAAATAGTTTGATGTGTTTTAGCAGGAGTGTTTAGATTAAAATGGAATTAAACTGATTATCATGAAGCTCAACAGAAATCGATTCAGTTCATTTGTCTCCTCCTGGGAGGGACTGATGGGAGAAGCAGCTTTTAGTTCTGCTCCTCTAAACTGGAACAAACTCCAAACCAAACAATATAAACGATCAAATCCTAAACGGCTTTTAATCCAGATTAGAATCCTTCCTTTGACTGCGATATCCAATCACCATCCGTATGTCAGCATCTATTGCTCCATTGCTGCGTACGTACGATTAGCCGCCTGCTAACAGTGACGCTCACATTGTTTTTATTTTGTTTTTCATGTTTGTTTCCTTCATGTAAAGAACTTTAATCTGATTTAGGATCAAAATTAAAAGAATTTGAACAGAATTCGTGTAATAAAACCAAATGAAATAACTCTTAACTTTAAACGTGCGTTTGCACCTCTTTATATGTGTTTGTGAGGACGTTAGCACACTCCTACATTGTGGGATCTTCTCACCTTGTGGGGACATCAGACAACTTATTTTACACTGCAAAAAATGAAATCTAGATAAGTCGTTTTTCTTAAAATAAGTGCTTTAGTGAGACACTTTGCCAATGTAACAAGAGAATTTACATTCAGAATAAAAAAACAAGGGGCCAAACTTGTTCACCTTAACGCATTTAGCTTTATATGGAAATGTGTTGTTTGTGGGGGAGGAGTTTAAAACGAGCAAAAACAACCATCGATGGTTCGATCCTCCATTTCCTGCTGCAGAGGAGGAGCATCCATGCACGGAGGGCGGAAATAAGAAAAAGAAGAAATGAAAAGGAGAAAACAGCATCGGGTTTACCGGGTGAAGGCAGATTATTAGGGGGCGGAGCTTAAAAACACACGGAGGTTTCACTCTTTCTGGACAGTAAAGTGAATTCACTATAACAGCGAAGTTTAATCTGCCGTTAAGAAATGACTCCGTCCCGCTGGAAGAACAAGAACATTTGAATTCAAAATTAGAAAAAATATTTTATTGTCTATTTTAAGTGAATTTTATCTAATTATTTTATTCTAACAGTAAAAATACTAATTCCATCTTATTTACAAACTCCAATTAAGGGTAAATAGACCTTATTTAGGAATTAGTTTTTGCAGTGTATGTTGATTTTATGTCAGAGTGACGTCACTGTAATGTTTTCAGAGTTGATGAGAAAAGGCAGCGTCTATCCACCAGTGGAAACGGCGAGTTACGTCCCCGCCGGGCCCCCGCCGGGCCCCCGCCTCCCACCACCCCCTGTTTTAATCAATGAAAATGAAACAGGAGATGTGATCAAACGAACACTCAGCTCCAAACAAACACCAACGATCCGTCTGCCGCTCCATGTGTGCGGATAACGTTTCCAGCTCTTTAAAATACTGTCAACATGCGGCGGCAACAATCAGCGCAGCCAGTGACTCCATCATTAATAAACCAGAATATCCCTGTTTTAAGGACTGATGCTGGAAAAAACCATCAGGAGAAACAGCTTCAGATTCACCTTGAAGCATTTCCATCCATCCATTAATTACATCACAAACTTCCTCCACTGCTAAAATAATCTCACATCAGTTCAATCTGACAGTTTGGAGGGAATCTGTGACACTTTCATTAGAAATATATTCTAATTGTTTTATTGAGTTTTATATAAAGATGATGTTTCATTTTTTAATTAAAATTTGTGTTTTTTAATTTGAGCAGGGAAGTTAAACAATTTGCCAATAAATTGATATAATTTGCTTTTAGAATAAAAAAATAAAACTAAAGTAATCTTATTTCAAGAGCATAATATCTAATTACTGTTTTATGGGCAGAAATCCTGTTTCGCTGCTGAAATTAAGGCCAAATAAACAGATTTTAATAAACATTTGGCTTATTTGTAGATCTGTTTTGCAGATGTGTGTTTGCCTATGGGCAAGGCATCAATCTGTGCATGAAGGTGTCCATGTTTGTCAGACTCTGAGACTAGAAATGCAGACTGAACTCAGGCCCTTTATCCTCTGCAGCAGATGAAATAGCAAAAAGCATAGAAAACATTTTTAGATCAGGGGTCGCCCACAAGATGTCCCATAATCCTAATAGAAGAAATTGAAGTGAAATGGATGAATGGGTTTGACCTTTGACCTCTAACTGTGGCAGACATTCCTTCATCTTGAACTCAGGCCGTTTCTCAGTTCACTAGAACGCGAGAACGGACTCGTCTCCTCGCCAAGTCTGTTCCTGACTAGAACCCAGGAAAGTTTGGATAGATCTGGATCCACTAGAACAGCAGCGTACCGATGACATCACCACATTCAAAGCTAGTCTGGAGCTGCATTTCACATTAGGACTTTTTTCATTTATTGGGGGAATAATAATGAACACAGTCAGATAAACAAATCAAATGAACATTTTGCCAAATAAAACAAAAAAACCTCCATCAGAGGCAGCGGTGCTTCACACACGGCTATGCAGAGAGAGGGCTGCTGCAGATGGGCTAACATTAGCCCTGGCTGCTGCAGACAGGCTAACGTTAGCCCTGGCTGCTGCACACGGGCTAACATTAGCCCTGGCTGCTGCACACGGGCTAACGTTAGCCCTGGCTGCTGCACACGGGCTAACATTAGCCCTGGCTGCTGCACACGGGCTAACATTAGCCCTGGCTGCTGCACACGGGCTAACATTAGCCCTGGCTGCTGCAGACAGGCTAACGTTAGCCCTGGCCACAGTAGACAGGCTAACGTTAGCCCTGGCCGCTAAAGACGGGCTAACGTTAGCCCTGGCCACTGCAGACGGGCTAACGTTTGCATTGGCTGTGGTTACCCTCAGAGCTCCGCTGGTTGCTGCTGTCCTCTCAACATCTGAACATCTTTTTAAAATTCCGCACTAAATCAGTAAATGTTCCATATAGTGATGCTTAAAGTTTAATATTCTCGCCTCAAATGATCTCAAAACGTACTTTTATTGAACAGCAACAGAAAAGAGAACTTTTAACTTAATCCTCTGAGCTCTGTGAGCGCTAACCTGGAAGCTGCTGCTGCTGCAGTGCATGCTGGGACAGCTGTCAGTCTGGAGAACGGACAGGTCTGCTCTGATGCATGCTGGGTAAAGAGGGAGGGGCCAGAACAACATCCGGGGACTTTGTCCGTTCTCGGTCTGCTGTTCTAGTGAATTGGAACAGAACTAGGCCTGAGGCTGATGACATTTCACGAGGACACGAGGACGCACAAGTAGACACACTTAGAAACGGCCTCAGTGACCTTTCACCCCTGACTGCTCCATCTGACTGCTGATGACTTCCTGTTTCCCTTCTCTAGATGATCCACCTGCTCCTTTAGCTCCAGGCTGAGCTTTTCTGGGACTAACTGGAAGTTCTGTCTGTCCAATCAGAGACTCTGGGTCCAGTTGGAGGTTTCCTCTCCACTGTCGCCACATGCTCCTTTAGGGAACTGAACCAGTTTGCTGGGATGATTCTTAATCGTCCACCAAGAACTGGAGGATTTTTAAAGATTAATTTTTCAGTTCAAATAGTTCAAATATTTTAGGAGATGAAAATCAACATATTTTAAATCATAGCGGCTGATCAGTGATGATGATGATGATGGACAGCAGTGCAGTAAACTCTGCTTCCATGCAAATGATTTACTGATCACAAGCTATTGATCC